CATTACACGATGTGCTTATTATATTCGAGCAAATTAATTGTGTTTAATAATATTCTTAAATTTTATTACGTCTGCATTTTTGTACCATTAATATATGTATAATAAAGTTATATTAGTAACATCATTATCGTGGTTATTTTATTCCATTTTATATTCTCATAAAATACATCTTCGTACGTAATACGTAATCTTTACTATATCGATTTTTTAAAATTAATCAAAAAATAGTGATTTGCACAATTTGATTGCAAACGCCAGAAACTGGTATCACTGAATGGCGTGTATGTGTGCGTGTGACGAGCGTAGGCACATTCGACTCGCGCCCACTAACATAATGACCTTGCATCATTTTAACGCTCGTGTTTTGTACTAGACTGCGTTTCTATGCGTAATAATTCTATGGAATTTTGTATCGAAAGATATTATGTGGTATTGCATACAAATCATTAGAGCCACGTGAGTACAGAGTAGGATATTCAGTATAAATGCACACGTTGAATTGTAGGAAAATGGACTTTGTTTATTAATTAAATTAAATATCGGTAACAAAAACAGATAAAAACAATTATGCGTACCTGAACAGATATTAATGTTATGCCATGAGTATTATGATTGCAAATAATAACAGTAATTAGAATTTTAGAAGAGTAATTAAGCAGATCAGATATGTAACAATTTAACCAAATTGTATGTCTTTCATATAATACTAATAGGATATTAATTAAATTTAAAAGAGTGCACTTTAAGTCTGAGAGACGAAGTTACAAAAAAATTACACCACATGTATCTAGTCTATTGAAATAACAATATCTATACATATAATAAAAATGTAAATAGCAGAGGGGTACTAAAAATAAGTAATTAAATACATTTCTACCATTTTTAGAATTTTCTGTCTGTCTGTCTGTTTGTTTGTTAACGTATCACGTATAAAGTACTAATACATATCATAAGAATTGTTAAGGAAATTATAAAGTGTATCTTCGGGTTACATTTAGTCTTTATTTCATTAAAATCAGTTCATTCCATCAAAAGTTATGATAAATATTCTGAAGTATAGGTAGGGAAGTATAGATACGAATTTGCTCAACGGTGGATGTGGTTGAGTCATCAAGTGCACTTTAAACTAATATCATATCACAAATCATAATTAAATGATGTAAAATAATGTTCTATAATGATATAATTATGTATATCTAAAACGCAGTAAACAAAAGTATTAAAAAACATATTAAATAAATATATTATATTATACAAAATACATTAATCTTATTGACTAAATCTAAAAGTACAATAGTTAACCAATTTCATCGATAGATGGTAGTATTGTGCAAATGTAATGCAAAAAGGCAGGTTGTGTTTTTTTCCTGTAGATGAGTTTTCATATTTACTGCTGATCTTTACATTACTCGTCTGCGTGTTGACAAACTCAATTTATTCTTTACCGCCGAGTACTTTATGTGGTAAATCAAATTTTAAAAGAGCTATTAACAATTGCGTTGGTTTTGGCGAGGTTCAAACTTTATTTTTTGCTTACTGTGCATGCACTGATTTATAAGTTCTTTTACGTTTTATATAATGTATCAATCGCTTCAATGAATCTCTTTTATTTTTAGAAATGATGTTAGCAGCGCCATCTCTCTTTAAATATATACATATAATAAAAATGATGATAACATGTTATGTCTATTTATTTACATTATGGGGAACTGAAAATAATTAAATAAGTACATTTTTATAATTTTTAGAATTGTCTGTCTGTCTGTTTGTCTGTTTTTTTTATGAACGCATCACCTCTAAAGCAAACATCTTTTTTTTTCAAAGAAATCATTAAAAAATCATAAAGCGTATCTTCGAGTTACATTTAATCTTTGTTTTATTAAAATTAGTTAATTCTATCGAAAATAATGATTATTATTTTGAAATGTAGGTTCGAATTTGTTCAATGGCGCCATAAAATCTCAGAAATAGTAATAAAAGATTTGTGTGTAAGAAAACGTTCCATAATAATTAACGTATTGTTACGCGCCACTATTAATGTCTTGTACATGGCAACACTAGTTACACTAGCGCCCTCTAGTGTCGAGTAAAAGAAAGTATTGCGCGCCACTATTAATGTCTTGTACATGGCAACACTAGTTACACTAGCGCCCTCTAGTGTCGAGTAGCAGAACTAGGAGAGTCGAGATTCTTCCAGAAATTTCGGGACCGATATGTACTCGAACATTCTAGATGTCGCTACAGTAGAAGGTTCTGGAAACTATCTGAGGCCCTATATAAGGCCGGTATAGACCACGACCGGGGCAGTATTGAATTGGCGATACAAGAGAATACTTCGAAGCGAAATAACGGCGAACTGTGTTTTATTATTAGTGTGATTTTAGATTGTAATTAGTGTTGTGTGATTAAAGTGTCAATTTTGGTAATTCAATCGGCAGTTTTTAATTGTCTCGAACCCCAAGCTCGTAACAATTGGTGTCAGAAGTGGGATCAAATATGCCGATTTTATCTAAAGACGACACGGAGGATATCCGTACCCGAAGTCAACGCCAACAGGAGACGGACCAGAGACGATTTGGTAATGCAACGCCGCAAACGTCGGATGGGCAGCTGCTAACCACGGAGGCCAGCCCGTCAGCAGCTCCTGCATCTGCAGCACCTGACTTAGGTGCTCTGATGATGATGCTGCAGGATCAGGCTCGCCGACAGGAGGAACAGGCCCGCCGACAGGAGGAACAGGCCCGCCGACAGGAGGAACAGACCCGTCGGCTGGAAGAGCAGCTGCAGCGCGGTATGGAAGAACAGATGCTTCTCAGGAAGGACCTTCACGCTACCTTCGGGAAAGAGATAAAGGAGGTGAAGGATAGGGTTGCTCAACATGACAACCGCCTGTCGGAAGCTGAAACCCGAATCGACCAAGTGAACAATCGGGTTGACAACTTGATGGCTGATGTGAAGAAAACGCTGGACGACCTCAAACTTGGGGATGGAATTACAGTTCCCGTGGTAGCTACAACACCTTCGCCACGTGGATTCAAAGTGCCGCCGTTCGATGGGAGTTCTTCCTGGTCGGCCTACAAAATCCAGTTCGAGGCTGTCATGAAAGCGAACGGCTGGAATAAAAGTCAGGCCATGACTGCTCTCACCCTAGGCCTACGCGACCAGGCCTTAACTGTTCTGGAAGCTCTCGGTAAGGAAGTGACTTACGAGCAGCTCCTTGAGGCATTGGAGGCGAGATATGGCGATGCTCACCTGGAACACGTCATTCGTGCGCAGCTCAAAGATCGCGTGCAACGCAGTAACGAAAACCTGCAGCAGTGGGCCCTTGAGAGGGAGAAGCTGGTTCGAAAAGCGTACCAGTCTGTACCTGCGCTCATTGTAGGGAACCTGGTGCAGACATTCATCGACGGCATCCGCGACCTTGAAGTCAGAGCTGCTGTGAGGCTCGGGCACCACGAGACGCTTAAGGACGCCTTGACCCATGCACTGGAGGTGGAAGCGGTGCGGCAGGATCATCGTTCCCACCGCGTCAGGGAGGTTGCAGCAGCTACAGCTCAGGACCGCAATAAGGGCTACAGCCCTAGGTGCTACGGCTGTGGGGAAAGGGGCCATCTTCGATCCAGCTGCCCTAAACGAACTGTAGAAAGGGAAGGTGATCGATCTCGAGAGGGTAGTGCGGATAATAGCACCGCCCAGCAGCAGCAGGGAAACGAGTAAAAGCCAGGACTGCGGGGCGGGTGCTGGCTGATGTTAAAAGAGCCCCAAGGATTTCGATCTCACAAACCCATGATGGGAACAGCCTAATCATCAAGGGCGAAGTCAACGGAACGCCGTGTAAACTGACCATAGACACTGGAGCCTCTCGCACGGTTGTCAGTTCCCAACTTATAAGTCGGTTCCTTGGGGACTCCGCATACAACCGAGAACGCATTAATTTGGTGACAGCCACCGGTCAGCGCATACCCGTCCGTGGAGAGAAGGAGATGGAGTTGAAGCTAGGCAACATGATCTACCTGCATAATGTCATCGTGGCTGATATAATGGACGACTGCATCCTGGGCCTAGACTTTATGAGGAAGAATTGTTGTGAGATCGACGTTAAGCAAGGTGTTTTGAAATGTGGACAAGAGGAACTTTTCGTGGAAGGGGCGTTACCAGGGAATGTGTACAGCCTTAAGAAGATTGTTCTTCCGCCGAGATCGGAAACGATTGTGCCGGTTAGACTTCCACGGAATCCTGGGCAATCTCTTCGTTGTGTACTCGTGGAAAGGGTAGACAATGACCTTCCATGGAAAGTGGCTCGAACCTTGGTCAGAACCGCCGACATCTCAGGAGTACGTGTGCTGAACCTTTGTGATCAGGAACAGATTATAGAAAAAGGCACATTGGTTGGTACTAGTGAGGAAGTGGATTGGTTGCGTCGGTGCGAATATCTATCGACTGGGATCCCCAGCAAGGATGGACAAACTAGAGTGACCACACTTTTAGAAGACTGTCGCAGCGTTCTCTCCCCGAATGAAACGGTCAAAGCGAAGAAGTTGTTACTCAAGTACGCCAATGTTTTCTCGTCAAACGAAGCTGACATAGGAAAGACTGGCTTAGTTCAACACAAAATAAACACAGGACAAGAATTGCCTATTCGTCAGCGGCCAAGAAGATTGCCTGTAGCACGTGAAAAGGAAGTGGAAACCATGATTGAGGGAATGGTGAAGGATGGTGTTATTGAACCTTCATCGAGTCCATGGTGTTCACCTGTGGTGCTGGTAAAGAAGAAGGACGGCAGCATGCGGTTTTGTGTTGACTACCGCTGCCTGAACGACGTTACGAAGAAGGACAGCTATCCCTTGCCAAGAATTGATGACACGCTGGACATGCTTACAGGCGTAAAGTAGTTTAGTACGCTGGATCTGAAAAGTGGCTACTGGCAGGTTGAAATTGACCCTAAGGACAAGGAGAAAACTGCATTCTCCACAGGAAAGGGTCTGTGGCAATTTAAAGTCATGCCGTTTGGATTGTGCAATGCTCCAGCAACGTTTGAAAGGTTGATGGAGCTTGTACTTACCGGGCTAATTGGAGATGCCTGTCTCGTCTATTTGGATGACATCATCATCGTAGGCCGTACATTTGAGGAGCACCTTCAAAACCTAGAACGCGTGCTCATGAAGATCCAGAGTGCCAACCTCAAGTTGAGTCCAAAGAAGTGCTCTCTATTCAAACGGCAAGTTAGGTTTTTGGGGTATGTAGTGTCGGAAGAAGGTATCCGCACGGATCCAGAGAAAATTGTTGCTGTCAAGGAGTGGCCGGTCCCAAAAGACAAGACACAGGTTAGAGCATTTTTGGGTTTGTGCTCTTATTATCGGCGATTTGTGAAGAACTTTGCAGATATAGCCAAACCTCTGCACAAGCTAACCGAGGAAAAGCGACATTTCTGCTGGGATGAAAGTTGCGATATTGCATTCCAGGAGCTCAAGAATCGTCTGCGCAAAACACCTATTTTGGGGTACCCTGATGCGGGCAAGGAATTCATAGTTGACACAGACGCAAGTGATATAGGACTTGGCGGTGTGTTGTCTCAACGGAATGGTGATCAAGAGATTGTGATAGCGTACTTCAGCAAGTCGTTGTCAAAGCCGGAAAGGAACTATTGTGTCACAAGACGGGAATTGCTTGCTGTGGTAAAGTCCTTGCAGCATTTTAGCAAATATCTTCTGGGGCGGAAATTCCACTTAAGAACTGACCATGCTGCACTGAAATGGCTATTGCAGTTCAAAAATCCGGAAGGACAAGTTGCGAGATGGATTGAACTACTGCAGGAATACGACTTTGTGATCGAACATCGCAGCGGGAAATCTCATGGCAATGCAGATGCGTTGTCAAGAAGACCTTGCCCTGAAGATTGCAAGCATTGTACTAGGCAAGAGGGTAAGGAAGTGGTATCTGTGAGAATGCTCAGGACAGACCAGCTCAGCAATGAGTGGAAGGACAGCTTACAACATGCACAGCAGGAAGATTCGGACATTAAGCCGATTCTGGAATGGATGAAGGCCAGTGCTCCTAAACCCAAGTGGAGCGACGTCTCAGCAATGAGTTCGACCACGAAAAGCTATTGGGCCCAATGGGACAGCTTGCTGATTCAGGATGGAGTCCTGTGCCGTAAATGGGAAAATGGTCGGGGAGACAGGTGTCATTTGCAAATGGTTGTCCCTAAGGCTAAAGTGCCGGATATTCTACAGCTGTACCATAAGTAGTTGTTCAGGAGGCCACCTGGGAGTTAAACGAACTCTCCTGAAGATCCGAGAACGGTTTTACTGGGTCCACTGTCGTGACGATGTCGAAGACTGGTGCCGCAAATGTACAAGTTGTGCGGCTGTAAAGGGACCTCAAATTCGTAGTAGAGGCGCATTGAAATTGTACAATGTTGGTGCACCATGGGAGAGGATAGCCATTGACGTTGCGGGGCCGTTTCCAGAAACTGAAAGTGGTAACAAGTATTTCATGGTTGTGATGGATTACTTCACTAAGTGGCCAGAAGTTTTCGCCATTCCAAATCAAGAAGCTTCAACCGTTGCAGATAAACTAGTTCATGAAGTCTTCTGTCGTTTTGGAGTACCTTTAGAGATTCACAGCGATCAAGGAAGGAATTTTGAGTCTCAAATATTCCAGGAAACTTGCCGAGTTATGGGTACTCAGAAAACACGAACAACTTCTTACCACCCACAATCTGATGGAATGGTAGAAAGATTTAATCAAACATTGGAGAGGTACCTAGCAAAAGTTGTGGAAAAACGGCAACGAGACTGGGACAGGCACATACAACCGTTTTTGTTGTCATATCGAAGCGCTGTTCACGAAAGTACATCAGTGACACCAGCTTTCGTAAACTTTGGGAGAGAATTGCGGCTGCCTGCAGACCTGATCACCGGAATACCACCTGATGCCCCACGCAGTATAACCGATTATGCAAATGACTTGCGGAACAAAATGAATGACATTTATGAGCACGTCAGACAGACGGGCCAGCAAACGTCTGAGAAGATGAAAACACGGTATGACCGCAAAATGAACAACAAGGGGTTTGATGAAGGTTCACTAGTGTGGTTACACAATCCAGTTCGCAGCAAAGGGAAATCTCCTAAGCTTCAAGCTAAATGGGACGGACCGTACCGGATTGTGACAAGGATCAATGACGTAACCTACCGGATACAGAAAGGTGTCAGAGGTACTCCTAAGATTGTCCATGTGGATCGACTGGCGTGTTATTATGGGGCCAATAATGCTCGGGACGAGCATGTCTTAGGAGGGGGCAGTGTTACGCGCCACTATTAATGTCTTGTACATGGCAACACTAGTTACACTAGCGCCCTCTAGTGTCGAGTAAAAGAAAGTATTGCGCGCCACTATTAATGTCTTGTACATGGCAACACTAGTTACACTAGCGCCCTCTAGTGTCGAGTAGCAGAACTAGGAGAGTCGAGATTCTTCCAGAAATTTCGGGACCGATATGTACTCGAACATTCTAGATGTCGCTACAGTAGAAGGTTCTGGAAACTATCTGAGGCCCTATATAAGGCCGGTATAGACCACGACCGGGGCAGTATTGAATTGGCGATACAAGAGAATACTTCGAAGCGAAATAACGGCGAACTGTGTTTTATTATCAGTGTGATTTTAGATTGTAATTAGTGTTGTGTGATTAAAGTGTCAATTTTGGTAATTCAATCGGCAGTTTTTAATTGTCTCGAACCCCAAGCTCGTAACAGTATTTATATTATATTTAGCCGTAATATGATTGTTCCTCTCCTTGATGTTATTACTCCCATTATCACTCATTTACTCAATGCTTGTGTCTCTTCCTCTAAATTCCCTCAAGCCTGGAAGAGTGCTCATATTATACCCCTTCCAAAGAAATCTAATCCCGTTAACCTCTCTGATTTCCGTCCCATCTCGATCTTACCTTTCCTTTCTAAAGTCCTTGAAAAACTTATTTGCCAACAGCTGACCCTTTTCCTTAATAAGCACAATTTATTGAATTCCTTACAATCCGGTTTCCGTCCAGGTCATAGTACGGCTACTGCCTTAATCAAAGTTACTGATGACATACGGTGGGGTATGGATAATAAACAACTCACAGTCATGACCTTGCTGGATTTCAGTAATGCGTTCAATACTGTTGACTTCGATATACTGTTGAGTCTGTTATGTTCCCTTAACATATCTCCATCAGTAATTGACTGGTTTCAAAGTTATCTCTGTGGCCGTCGGCAGTGTATTCGTGTCGATGAAACTCACTCATCTTGGTGTGATATAACTGCAGGCGTGCCGCAGGGCGGCGTGTTGTCACCTTTACTCTTTTCCATTTTCATTAATTCAATCACTCATAAAATATCTTCTCTCTACCACATGTATGCGGATGATGTCCAGATTTATACCCAGTCAACTCTTGAGAATTTGCCGAGTGCAATCGCTACATTAAATAGGGATCTAAATTTTATACACGAGTGGAGTAAATCATATGGCCTAAATGTCAATCCTAAAAAGTCTCAGGCTATCATTATTGGTAGCCAGAGCTTTATCTCAAGAGTTGACTGGTTCTCTGTACCACCTATCGTATTCGATGGAGTTGTTATCCCTTACTTTGACAATGTCAAAAATCTTGGTATTTATATTGATAATTCCTTAAATTGGATACGCCAACTGAATGAGGTAAGTAAGAAAACTTTTGTCGCTCTTTGTTCGCTGCGTCGCCTTCGATCTTTTCTTCCCATTCCTACAAAAATTATGCTCGCACAGTCTCTTCTCCTTCCGATTCTCGACTATGCTGACGCAAGCTATCTAGACATAACTGAGGACCAGCTAAATAAGCTTGAGAGACTTCAAAATACTAGTATTCGGTTCATATTTGGATTGCGCAAATTTGACCGTATTTCCCAATTTCGCTCACGTCTCAAGTGGTTACCTATCCGACTTCGCCGGAACATGCATATACTTTCTATTCTGTACTGTGTATTATTTCACCCTTCTACTCCTCCCTATCTAAAGGAGAAGTTTAATTTTGTGGGGCTTCCAGGGGAACCCTTACGCTCTTCGAGAAAATTCATTTTAAGTGTGCCAACTCACAATACATCATTTTTCAATAAATCTTTTACTGTCCAGTCTATTAAGCTCTGGAATGCCCTACCTTTGCATATACGTGAGGCACAAACTATTGTTATCTTTAAGCGATTACTTAAAGAGCATTACTTGTCTCAATCGTTCGGACACCGTTAGGATAGATTGTGTGATTATGTATTTATTGTATCTATCAGCTTTATATTATTGTTTGAGGAATTTTATATATATATATATATTGATATATATATGTGTTGTGTGTATATTTATGTATATATGTTTATATATATGTGTATATGTATGTATATGTATATATGTGTATGTATGTATGTATATGTGTATATGTGCATGTATATGTATATATTATATGTGTTACCTTATATTTTATTATGTGTTAGTAATTTATATTATTTCATGTATTACTTAGTTATTTATATTTTTTTTTTTTTGCATTTATTATTTGTATATTTATATTGCACCACCTACCACCTACCTATTCATTGTTTGTATTACTTTACACCTTTGGTTGCCTGGAAGAGATCGCTATGTAGCGATAAGGCCGCCAAATTGTACATATTATAATCAGATTTTTGTTATGACATTTGTATATTTGTTCGTGGTGTACAATAAAAGTATATTCATTCATTCATTCATTCATTATAATTAAAACACAAAAAGAGTTTAAAAAATGGATGTTTTCTCACACAAAACACGTAATAGATGTTAATACGTACGCACGTAATAGAGTTGTACAAATTACAACCTTTTCTGAATTGCTCCGACGGTGAATCGTATTGAGACTTACTGAAGAAATTTGTATCTACCGAAGCCATGCAACGGAACGCGACCTAAAGTAATAAAATTGCAACGAAATGTCGTGATATTGTATTTATAATATACGCAAAATCAGTGCTGCCTTTTTAGCGCTTTGTGAACTAGATCTTGCGCTTTTTTAGAATTTATAGTGCGCATTTCAAAATTTTAGCACCTAGCGCTTAATCCAGCGCTTTTTGGTGTATTGAGCACACATTTCAAAATTGTAGCAACTAGCGGGTTATCTAACTCTTTTATAGCAACACTGTTAGTCCAGATTACCGATAATAATAATAATGACCTTTATTATTTTTTCCCACAAATAGTACATTGCAATTTATCTTTTTCAAACATATTTTTTTCACAAAACAAAGAGCATGGGAGACGAGTCCTAACTAGGATACCCTGTGATATGGATCTCCCGGCTCCCCCTTTAGGATGATCAACTTGATTTTTTTACCGACGACTATAAGCGGGGAAATCCCCTTAGTAAAGTTTTCGTTCATGGTTTTGGCAACGCATTTATTTTGCTTTATTCAGTTTCAGTCAGTTGTTTAGAGTACAGCTAAGTTAAAAGTTACTTAAAAGTTACAACACAAAGAAACTGTGTAACAACCGCAATCAGATGCTGACATCTGAAACTAAGTTGCGAAATACATTGCACTTTAACAACATTAATGACATCATCAAAAAATATTGCCAGAAAAAAACTTAATGTTGTTTTTTTTATTATGATTATATTTTCTTGAATTATAAATTATACTAAAAAACACAAACTTTGTTTGTAGTTGATTTAGCGCGAAATCTAGGGCTTTTTTAAAGCGCTGTTTTCATGAAATCTAGCGCTTTTTGTGTTGTCCTAGCGTTGAATGAGTTATTTGATCTGGCAGCACTGCCCAAAATCCCTCTGTTAAGAAATAATTTTCCTTTCAGTTTTAAGCGCGTTCAACTTCAGTTCCCAGTCACACTCAGCGTGTGTTATGCGATGACCGTAAATACAGCACAAGGTCAAACTTTACGCGTTGTAGGAATGCACCTCACTGACTGTTTGGCCAACTCTATGTTGCTTTTTCCCGCGTTAGTAGCCCCCGTAACCTTTTTGTGTACACTCCGGTTAAGACTACTTCTAACGTCGTTTACATAGAAGCTCTATCATAAACGACTTCGAACTTTAATGATAATGATTTATTTTGTTACCACTTATTGATACAGTAATGATATAAATCGTTTAATATTCTCTTACCTAAACGACAAATTCTTTATGTAAAATTTATATACGCGAGCTACGCCGCGGGCACAGCTAGTTTACTTATAAAAGTGTGATTACTTATAATAATTTAACATGTGGAACGTTGACTTAACCATTTGAGAATATATATTTTCTTGTGACACATAATATAATGATAAAAGTTGTTTATGTTTACGTATGTAGGCGTAAATTATTTACGCCTACATATGTAAACATAAACAAAATAAATTATTTACGGTAAATAATTTATTTTTAAACCTGTTTATGACGTTGCAATGCTGCCTGTTGCCATCCGGGTGTTTTTCATTTGATTCGTGCGATGTCCAGAGGGATCTGATTGCGATAGCGGGTGAAGTATCCGTCTTGCGAGCCAGAACGGTGCAATGTTTAACCCATACATATTTATACTCGTTTTTCTTAGCAGCCTCCCGGCATTGACGGAACAACAATTTGTTATACAACGTTAAATGCTCGTTAACGTAAATGGTGACACGGTTGTCGCGCAGTGTCCTGTTTGCGAACTTTACTATTTATTGGTTTTCACTCAATCCACTAGAATGAACTACAATCTTAGTACAGTAATCACGACACTAATAAATATCGTACTATGATCGATTTTTGTGTACATACAATTAGATATTTAAGGAAGTCGTTAATACAGGGTACCACACTCAACGCTTGTTGCGGACGGAATGATGCTGCCATCCTCAAAGCACTGACGTTTATAAGAAGCTAATGTGAATTTATCAAAGCGAAAGTGACTCTCGGTCGGCTCTAGAATGCCTCTCTAATCCAAGCCATCCCTTAGCAGCTGAAATATTGACCAAAATCAATGACATTCGAAACAATGAGGGCGATGTAAAACTGTATTGGATTAAGGCCCATTATGGCATCTCGGGAAATGAAAGAGCAGATGAATTGGCTAAGTCAGCAGCAGAAACATCCAAACAAGCACCAGTCTATGATTACTTCCCGCTGTCCTATGTAAAGCGCCCACTCAGGGACAACACTATAAACATATGGCAAGAACGATATAGCAAGACTGAAAGAGGAGTCGTAACAAGAACATTTTTTCCCGCATGTTACAGAAACATACAAAACAATTATTAAAATTAATGTAAATAATCTAATATCTCAAATATTGACATGGAGGTTTTAAAGTCTACCTATTTAGATACCTATTTAAATTAGCGGATAGTCCTTACTGCAGCTGCGATAATCAGAATCCACAATCAATTGATCATATTATTTTAGACTGTCCCAAACTTGAATTAGTAAGACTGGAATGTGAACTGCGTATGGGCTTTCTGCTAAAAAAAGAAACTCTGAACAGAGCTATTAACAACAATGACTGGAACACACTTTAAAATTTGCAATAAGTAGTGTAGGAGATATTGTTAAGAAACATAAGACAAAATAAATGTTAGAATAAGTATGCTCTAAAAGTTAGTCAAAGTAGATAAGTAATATTTTTAACCAATGTGAGATGAAATTGAATCAGCATTATCATTATTAAAATTACAAGTAATCATGTAGAGATAGTAGATAAATAGATAAGGTATCACTGTAAACTTTACAAAAATGTAGAAAAGAAAGCCACGGAATATACTGTGAATATTACGTATTGTAAAATAAAATCATAAAAACGTAAAACTAAAAAAAACAGGCCTAAACAAAAGGTAGACATTGATAAGTTATAAAGGATGCTGTAAAATAAAAACCAGCGGGGATAAAAGAAAATATTTTAAAAAAAACTGCCTCCACGATACAGGAGAAAATCCTAGTGTGGGGTTATGTTTTTATTTTAATAAAAAAAAGAAAGAAAAAAGGTAGACTGTACAAGTAAGAGACTTCTTTGAGCAGTGCATGGGGGTAGTGAAGTACGATACCCGTCCGTGGGGAGAAGGAGATGGAGTTCAAGCTAGGCAACATGATCTACCTGCATAATGTCATCGTGGCTGATATAATGGACGACTGCATCCTGGGCCTAGACTTTATGAGGAAGAATTGTTATGAGATCGACGTTAAGCAAGGTGTCTTGAAATGTGGACAAGAGGAACTTTTCGTGGAAGGGGCGTTACCAGGGAATGTGTACAGCCTTAAGAAGATTGTTCTTCCGCGGCGATCGGAAACGATTGTGCCGGTTAGACTTCCTCGGAGTCCTGGGCAAACTCTTCGTTGTGTACTTGTGGAAAGGGTAGACAATGACCTTCCATGGAAAGTGGCTCGAACCTTGGTCAGAACCGCCGACATCTCAGGAGTACGTGTGCTCAACCTTTGTGATCAGGAACAGATTATAGAAAAAGGCACATTGGTTGGTACTAGTGAGGAAGTGGATTGGTTGCGTCGGTGCCAATATCTATCGACTGAGACCCCCAGCAAGGATGGACAAACGAGAGTGACCACACTTTTGGAAGAAGTGTCGCAGCGTTCTCTCCCCGAATGAAATGGTCAAGGCGAAGAAGTTGTTACTCCAGTACGCCAATGTTTTCTCGTCAAACGAAGCTGACATAGGAAAGACTGGCTTAGTTCAACACAAAATAAATACAGGACAAGAATTGCCGATTCGTCAGCGGCCTAGAAGATTGCCTGTAGCACGTGAAAAGGAAGTGGAAACCATGATTTAGGGAATGGTGAAGGATGGTGTTATTGAACCTTCATCTAGACCATGGTGTTCACCTGTGATGCTGGTAAAGAAGAAGGACGGCAGCTTGCGGTTTTGTGTTGACTACCGCCGTCTGAACGACGTTACGAAGAAGGACAGCTATCCCTTGCCAAGAATTGATGACACGCTGGACATGCTTACAGGCGTAAAGTGATTTAGTACGCTGGAACTGAAAAGTGGCTACTGGCAGGTTGAAATTGACCCTAAGCACAAGGAGAAAACTGCATTCTCCACAGGAAAGGGTCTGTGGTAATTTAAAGTCATGCCGTTTGGATTGTGCAATGCTCCAGCAACGTTTGAAAGGTTGATGTAGCTTGTACTTACCGGGTTAATTGGAGATGCCTGTCTGGTCTACTTGGATGACATCATCATCGTAGGTCGTACGTTTGAGGAACACCTTCAAAACCTGGAACGCGTGCTCATGAAGATCCAGAGTGCCAACCTCAAGTTGAGTCCGAAGAAGTGCTCACTATTCAAACGGCAAGTTAGCTTTTTGGGGTATGTAGTGTCGGAAGAAGGTATCCGCAGAGAAAATTGCCGCTGTCAAGGATTGGCCGGTTCCAAAAGACAAGACACAGGTTAGAGCATTTTTGGGTTTGTGCTCTTATTATCGGCGATTTGTGAAGAACTTTGCAGATATAGCCAAACCTCTGCACAGGCTAACCAAGGAGAAGCGACATTTCTGCTGGGATGAAAGTTGCAATATTGCATTCCAGGAGCTCAAGAACCGTCTGTTTAAAACACCTATCTTGGGGTACCCTGATGCGGGCAAGAAATGTATAGTTGACACAGACGCAAGTGATATAGGACTTGGCGGCGTGTTGTCTCAACGGAATGGTGATCAAGAGATTGTGATAGCGTACTTCAGAAAATCGTTGTCAAAGCAGGAAAGGAACTATTGTGTCACAAGATGGGAATTGCTTGCTGTGGTAAAGTCCTTGCAGCATTTTAGCAAATATCTTCTGGGGCGGAAGTTCCACTTACGAACTGACCATGATACACTAAAATGGCTATTGCAGTTCAAAATTCCGGAAGGACGAGTTGCTAGATGGATTGAACTACTGCAGGAATACGACTTTGTGATCGAACATCGCAGCGGGAAATCTCATGGCAATGCAGATGCGTTGTCAAGAAGACCTTGCCCTGAAGATTGCTAGCATTGTACTAGGCAAGAGGGTAAGGAAGTGGTATTTGTGAGGATACTCAGGACAGACCAGCTCAGCAATGAGTGGAAGGACAGCCTACAACATGCACAGCAGGAAGATTCGGACACTAAGCCGATTCTGGAATGGATGAAGGCCAGTGCTCCTAAGCCCAAGTGGAGCGACGTCTCAGCAATGAGTTCGACCACGAAAAGATATTGGGCCCAATGGGACAGCTTGCTGATTCAGGATGGAGTCCTGTGCCGTAAATGGGAAAATGGTCGGGGAGACATGTGTCATTTGCAAATGGTTGTCCCTAAGGCTAAAGTACCGGATGTTCTACAGCTGTACCATAGTGGTTGTTCAGGAGGCCACCTGGGAGTTAAACGAACTCTACTGAAGATCCGAGAACGGTTTTACTGGGTCCACTGTCGTAACGATGTCGAGGACTGGTGCCACAAATGTACAAGTTGTGCGGCTGTCAAGGGACCTCAAATTCGTAGTAGAGGCGCATTGAAATTGTACAATGTTGGTGCACCATGGGACAGGATAGCCATTGACGTTGCGGGCCCGTTTCCGGAAAGTGAAAGTGGTAACAAGTATTTCATGGTTGTAATGGATTACCTCACTAAGCCAGAAGTCTTCGCCATTCCAAATCAAAAAGCTTCAACAGTTGCAGATAAACTAGTTCATGAAGTCTTCTGTCGTTTTGGAGTACCTTTAGAGATTCACAGCGATCAAGGAAGGAATTTTGAGTCTCAAATATTCCAGGAAACTTGCCGAGTTATGGGTGCTAATAAAACAAGAACAACTTCTTACCACCCACTATCTGATGGAATGGCAGAACGATTTAATCAGACATTGGAGAGGTACCTAGCAAAAGTTGTGGGAAAACGGCAACGAGAATGGAACAGGCGCATACAACCGTTTTTGTTGTCATATCGAAGCGCTGTTCACGAAAGTACATCAGTGACACCAGCTTTCGCAAACTTTGGGAGAGAATTACGGCTGCCTGCAGACCTGATCACCGGAATACCACCTGATGCCCCACGCAGTATAACCGATTATGCAAATGACTTGCGGAACAAAATGAATGACATTTATGAGCACGTCAAACAGACGGGCCAGCAAACATCTGAGAAGATGAAAACACGGTATGACCGCAAAATTAACAACAAGGGATTTGACGAAGGTTCACTAATGTGGTTACACAATCCAGTTCGCAGCAAAGGGAAATCTCCTAAGCTTCAAGCTAAATGGGACGGACCGTAGCAGATTGTGACAAGGATCAATGACGTAACCTACCGGATACAGAAAGGTGCCAGAGGTATACCTAAGATCGTCCATGTGGATCGACTGGCGCGTTATTATGGAGCTAATAATGCTCGGGACGAGCATGTCTTAGAAGGGTGCAGTGTTGCGCGCCACTATTAATGTCTTGTACATGGCAACACTAGTTACACTAGCGCCCTCTAGTGTCAAGTAGCAGAACTAGGAGAGTCAAGATCCTTCCAGAAATTTCGTTGTCGAAATTGGCGTTCATCTCCGCTAGGAGTAATAGTGTTCTGTGGTCCATGGCATCTCCACTATAGAGAACCTGAACAATGTCTCTTGTAGAATTTCTAACTGTCGAATCGTAGTGCAGGCAAAGGTCTTCCAAACTCTGCACCAACTTTCTCTGCATGTATCCAGTTTCAGCTGTTTTCACATCAGTATCCACAGAAATAACAAAAAATTATACATACTGCTTTTCATTTCCTTAAAATCAAATATTCTGAAATGGATTGAAACGTGTTGTGTTGTGGTTAAAAAGCAGAACGACTTATGGCCCGTTTTCATTGATGGTATGCACTATGCCCGTCGTCTGCTGCGTATAGCGCATATTGGCGGCGACCGTCAGTTTTACTTAATTATTAATTTTTGTAACTAAATATGTGCAATAACAATACGTTATTGTGCAATTACAATCGAGATATGTGCAATTTATTGGCACTCTGTGCAATTAGAAAAAAACTTTATTTACGGAGATATCGATATTGCAGTACTAGTAAAAACCATAATTTACTTTTTGATTTTTTATAAAAAATTGGAGAGTGTGCAATTACAAATACAAGTATAATCGTAATGTGCTATTAAAAATACGTCGACTAGTATTTTTTTAATACAAATATCATTATTTTGCAGGCTGGGGTGTTTATTTCGAAGCGAAATAATGGCGAAGCAAAGTGACAATTGTGTTTTATAATTGTGTGGTTTTAGATTGTAATTAGTGCTGCGTAATTAAAGTGTCAATTTTGGTAATTCAATCGGCAGTTTTTAATTGTCTCGAATCCCAAGCTCGTAACAATATTATGTTATTTTACCATAAATAATTTACGAATTTCATTCTTAGGTCGTTCCGTTTTACGTTCAGATAAAGTGACAGCGGATTTTAATGATTTTTAGTTTATACATTAGGTACAAGTTTTTAACTTTAATTAATTTTTAAATAGCTGCTAATATATTAAACTCAATTATGAACTAAATAATATAGTTTGTTTTTTTCTTTTATGTTACTCTATTACATTATACACTACACCAAAATAATATTCAAAAATAACACAACTCAGAATAGAAGCAAGGAGAACTTGGGATGCAAGCGAGTGAATCGAACTTGGCACTCCGACTCGAACAGCATAGGTTGGAAGGGGATAGCGGGTCTAGTGAACGAGCGAAGTGTTAGTGTTAGTGTGTGTAGTGTTAGGTTATTTTAAACCCTTTAGACAGAAATAGGAGCCTTGCGTTACGGGGTTCCGTCGATTACGTCCTATTACAATATTCAGATTTCATTATTACTTGGACTTAAGATTACGAGGGTGACATTGAAAGTTCTTAGAAAATCAAAAACTGAAAAAACTAGCAACTTATTAGTTTTATTATATCTTTTCAAAATAGTGTCTATTTACAATTACAATGATTACAATAAATAATTTACAATGCATCACTGAATCCGATGGAACCACTGTGAAAAGCACTTTACCCACTCGTCCTTAGAGGTCTCTTCGACGGCATTTCGAAAAGCAGCCACTGCTTCCTCGGCGTCTATAAAACGTTTTCCTCGAAGTTTTTCTTTTATTTTCGGAAATAATTAAAAATCGCAAGGTGCGCGGTCGAGGTATAGGGCGGGTGATCCAGTAATTCCACGTCTGACGTTACCAGGTAGTCGATTGTTTGCTTGGCTGTGTGCGATGAGGCGTTGTCGTGGTGGATAAGGATCCTACTGCGAGGTCATTGCTCCCGAACTTTTTCCAAGACAAGTGGCAAACAATTCTTAGTGTACCACTCTGCAGGAACTGTTTTTCGATCCTCTAAAACAATTGTTGCGTAATGACCTGTCCTCCCGAAGAACGAGGCCACCATCCTTTTTTCCCACGGTTCGACCTCTCTTCACTTTAACTGGCAACTCCTCGGAAGGAAACACCCAGACAGCAGACTGTCTCTTAGTTTCAGGATCATAACAATAAATCCAGCTTTCGTCACCCGTAAGTATATCGAACACAGTATTTGAGTCACCTCCGTTAAATCTTTGAACCATTTCACGACACCAATCAACACAACGGAATTTTTGGGCCTCTGTCAAATTATGAGGTATCCACCGGGCACAAAGCTTCCTTACCGCTAAATGTTTATGGAGGATTTAGTGCACTTGACTCATACCGATGCCTAAGCTTGTCCGAATCTGCTGATAAGTCATCCTTTTGTCATTCTCTATCATACGTCGCACAACACTGATGTTATCTTCAGTCATCATCATAAAAAATCATTGTACGAAAATTATCTCGCATTAAATTCATGCTGACGTTACCCAGACAATTTTCAATTTGACGCCAAATCGTAAACAAATGACAAATTAATAAAATACATACACAATAACATTGGCAAGGAGTTCCATTTTCAAAATTTGAACTTATTTTTTTATTATATCCTTTGCAAGTGGCCACTTCTTAAAACTTTCAGTGTCACCCTCATAATTAAATTATTTTTTATTTGACCTTGATCTTTGACATATAAGCCTCAAAACGTCCTTGTCCTTAGCTTATTATAAGATAGTATTCCAAAATTTTAGCATAATATTTTGAATTGATCTTGACAATTTGACTTTCAGAGACTTTGACCTTGACTTCTAATTTGATGACCTTGACCTTAAAGATGTCATTGACCTTATTATTACTTGAAAATAAGTTTAGACCCACCCACACTTACTACTCCCATTATCCCACAAACCCGGAAAGAAATTTTTGGCAACTTTTTTCTCAGCACCTATGGTTTTGCTCAATTTGCTGATTTGAAAATCACACTAAAAAGGGTTTATTTTGAAAAAAAATTGCTACTATAAAAAGCGGTGGAAACTATTGCACAGCGCTTCCAAAAATGATTTGAATTACTAAAGGTGAGTGTACCTTCTGTCAAGAAACTCACGAAAAAAAAGGAAGGCGCCACTATCTTATATACGGCATCGCTATAGATTTCAACCGAAAAGTTTTGATACTTTTTATTTTATTTTATACACTGATTTAATATTATGGTCCCTTTACTGTCATATTTTTTCAAGTATATGCTGTTATTGGTATGCGTAACCCTTGACCCTTGTAAATTCCAGCAACAGTAATTAATAATTAGGGAAAGTAGGTTTTACACAAGACCAGCCTTGACAGACAGCAGACACCCAAGGTGCCAAAATAAAACAAAAAAAAATGTTGATACATAGTTATTATATTTTGATTATTAATCTGAGTCCAAATAATCTGAATCGAGGTATTCAACTCCCGAAATGTTGCTTGAAGCTCCTGCGTAATTAAATTGGGCCATTTCTGACTCTTCAGATTCACAAAAACAAAGGTAGTTTTAGTAAAAAAAGTGATATACATTCTGTAAACACTAGGAACAAACACAAGCTAGTAGTGATACTGGTCTCTCGACTCCACAGAGTCAGTAATTCGTTCTTAGGGCAATGTATACGCTATTACAACAAGGTCCCGGAATATGTACAGGCTCTCTCTATTACCAAGTTTAAATGTTTTGTTAAGTTGAAACTGTATAAAAAGGGTTATTATAATATAAATGAATATATGGTTGATAATAACCCCTGGGAATAAGGTGGTCGCTTCCAAGTTGTTTCTAAAATAAATTTTGTACCAACCATTAATGTAAAATATGCTTTAAAAAAAAGTCCCGCTGGGTTTCTTGTTGGTTTTTTTTTCGAACCAGTGGTAAAGTAAAAAATGACTTTCAATAAGAATTATACATGTGATCTATATTGAATAAAAAATTATTCTATTCTATTCTATGCTGGAACTATCATCGCTTACTGAGATAACAAGTTTGTCTATATCATTATACAGAGATTCTCCACGTGCAAAGTATTCATTTTCTATTTTGATGACATGGTCAACACAATTTATCCATTCTTGTTGAGTTTTTAACTGAAATGCTTCTGTAGCCAACTTCGTAACGTCTTGACCACAAACATTCTTTTGTGCGATTCGCTTTTTTACCATTGCTCCAACTAATTCAATGGGGTTCAGATCAAAATGATAGGGTCTTACCACTGTCCATGTTCCCCTAGGAGTTCATCGATATAATACACCGGTACAGTTTTATGTTTTTTTAAAAGCATCAATAAGGATAGTTTCCGCAATGTTTCATTAAATGGAATATTATTTTCCAGTATCCACAATTTGATTTCATCAACTTTTGATGCAGATGATTGTCTATAATAATGTAAAACAAAAATAAAGTATAAGAAAGAAATATTATAATACCTTGTTTGTTATGATGGAGTGGTATGGTACATTATCCATCACAATTATGGATGGTTCAGTTATGTTGGACACTAACTTTTCAGTTACCCATTTTGTAAAATTATGGGCGTTCATCTCAGAATGGTAATCATCTTGCTTGTTTTTATCAGTAAATATTAATAGTGCACAATTATCCACCTTTTCCCTTTAGATACATCTTATTGGACACCAGAAATATTAATAGACAGTCAACATTTAGTTACTTTGTAGGACTCGTGTATGTAGCTCTCATCCAAATAAATAATGTTTTTTGGAGCTCCTTGGGCAATCTTCTGTTTTCAAGGATGTGCTGGTTTTTATATGAGAGCCAGTCTGTTTATTTGGCATTTCTTAAATTTAAAGCCAATAGAAATTAAAACTTGTCTTAAAAATTCATGGCTGCCATCAAAATTTAATTCTTCCTTTGCCACTGCACTGCACTTTTCTGCACTGTGTAGAAAAAATGAACTTTTTGACGAAAGGCACATAGATCGAAATCATCGATCTGTTTCTTACGACCTTGCCTGTGTTTTCTGGGCGTGACGAATTTACCTCCATTCTTCATACCTTCGTCTACTATGCGCCGAATTGTGCTTTCAGAAACACCTGAAAGTAAATAATAAATACCTTATTCATATCTAAACAAATAATACAAAAGGATCAAAATTATTGACTGTGTAGTATAATTCTTAAATAAATTTCATAACCTCAACTATTTGTAAACACAAAAACGCACAAAATGTAATAAAACGGATAAATTATACGTAAAAACAAATGACAGATATGAGATTACAGTTTTTATTATTGTGTTTAACATGTACGTACCAGTTATCTTTGACGGCTCTGTGGCGCAGTGGTTTAGCAATGAGTTGTTGCGCTGGTGACCGCGGGTTCGAATCCCGCACGGAACAAGTATTTGTATGGCCTACAAATAATTGTTCCGGGTCTGGATGTTTGTGCTCGTGCAATTTACGTCTGTAACGTTATAAAAAATAAATAAAAAAAATCTTTGCTGTTCGACCGTAAACATCGTCTAAATCGGAAAGAAACTTTCCCGCTTGAAATTCGGCCATACACTCTTTAAACACTTTAAATATGACTTGTCTGGTACCGCTCTTATAAACACTACGTTTTATTTTTGATCTCTAAAGACTAAACGGTCATACGATAAGAAAAACTAGAAATATAACAAAACATCTTAGAGCACATCAACTACAAACGTAGAGAGAGAATCCCTCTACGACTACAAAGCTACGATATGACAGCTGAGTTACTCAGTTTGACAAAAATTTATTGTTGCCAGTGCAAGCAAAAGCAGTATAGTGCCACCAACTTATCTGTTCAGGTGGACAAAATTGGAACTAAAGCCGCCATTTTGTAAATGACATTTTGCTGTCAGTTATTAATTATTCTGAGCTATCAGGTGAGTGCTTTTAAAAAGTGTAAATAAAATGCCTAAAGGTCTTAAAAGTGATGCGCGATAGATTATCCTAAAAGTTTTATTTTTTATGAAACAAGAGAAACGTGTACAAGTCCCAAATATACCATTTGAAAAGCTGTATGAACGCGTAGCTGCCGCGACAGGTTAGTATTGCCAGATATGGAAAATTAAAGTCACCAAATAATGTACTTGTGAAACATAGTAAAAAAAATATCTCAATTTACTGCAATTCATCTAAGTACCTAGATTTGTAGTTTGTGTTGCTAATGTTCTAATGCCCCAATTAATTGAAGATTAATATCATAAAATTAGACCGGTGCAGTGGAAAAACATTTGTAATCATGTAAAAAAAAAATTGAAAATGAATACAGACTAAAAGACGCGTATTTAAATGAACCCTTTATTATAGAGTGTCAGCAATGGTGAAAGCTATTCTAGTGACTCAGAAGATGAATTATTGGAATTATTGAGTCGCGTTAGCTACGCGGGTACATTTTCAAAAACAGAAATTCCTGGAATTCGGCCGATTGAACTCCGAGATCACGACCACAATTATTTTTATAAAATATAAATAATAACACTACTTCTCACTAATTTTAATATATTAACACGAAATTTGTTTTATTTTATATTATGTGTAATGAATATGTAGTTACCTCATTCCTCGGTGAATTTCTTAAATGGCAATAGTAAGCACTCCACTAGCGACGCTGTTAACTGAACAGATAAGTTGGTGGCACTATAGTTCCAAAAATATTATTTTCATGACTTCCTTGACAGACTATACATATAGATTGTGTTATAAATACAAAGTAAAAGTTATAAATACCAAAATCATGCGTACAATTTAACGTTTTTATAATTTTGTCTGTGACTTCCGTGACAGTAACAAATGTCAATGTCACTCAGAAAATAAATATTTCGTTCTCCAACGAGTTTGAGAAGTGCTTTCTCAGAGTTAGCAATTTTCTTCGAACTTTGATACGAAACACGAGTTATTTGTTTTCGCAAATAAACAGTATATTAAATTGTTACATTGGAAGAGATTTAGTTTTTAGGTGTAGGTTTTGATAACTTTTTGTGTTAAAATTAAGGGTAACTTTCAGTTTTTCTTGCCCTACTTGTTAGAGGTGTCATGTTACTTTACGAACTAACTTTTCTCTTATTATGTCATAGCTGTTAATAGAACACACTGTGTGTGCAATAAAACTTTTTGATGCCGGTTTTGTTTATGTAATATATTTTAAAATAATTTTAATAATATGTAAAAAAAACCTGAATTATGACAGAAATGAAAAAAATAAACACTGGTTACGACTGAAAGTATTGTTATTATCAAAACTTCAGTAATTAATTACCTAATTTCAAAAATGATGAGTATTTTAAATTAAATTCATAACTTTCTGTGATCTTAAAAAAAATTATTTTACAGGAAGATGCCCATCAATACAAAATTATTATTGCCAGTAGCCTTGGGGCTGTCTATAGTTACAGTGACGGCATTTGTGGCTTATTACATATTCAAAAAGGATGAGGAAGAAACAAATGAAAAGAAAATAAAAACATCAAGAGTTAACATCATTGAGGTGACGGTACCAAAAAGTATTGTCCCTGCATTAATTGGTTAGTATTTAGATAATTTTTTGACTGTCTCATTGATCTAATGGTCATAAATGCAACTGCTGATCATGTTTTGCCAAATTTAAAACCTGGATCGGGCCAAAATTGGTTATTGGGTTTTTTTGCCAAGAAATTCTCAATAGCAGGCTGGATTCAGGAAGTTGGCAGTGTTTTACCATGGAAGTGAAAAGCCTGGTTCCTGACCTATCAACTCTCCAGTTGTGTCAGATGACCGTCCCATTGGACTATGAAAGTGATGGCATAGAGTGTACCTGAGGATGCACTAACACTTTAACCCTGTCCTGCACAGATGACTAATGGTCACCGACCAACAGTAGTCACTTGCAACGGAGACTAAATTTGGTCTGGAGAATGTTATTGTTCAGATAATTGCTAAAACCTTTTTGCTGTCTATACTACATATATTGTGTCTGAAGACCAGATAGTGAATGTTAAGAAAAAATAAAATTACAAATTTTTGCTGTCTTAATAATGCTGTTTTAATGTTTTAAATAAAATTGTGTCATTTATCACTATATAGGGTAAACCACCCAATTGTTGGCACTTTAAGAGTGAGCTTCGTGTCAGTCTGAAATTAAATAACTATAAAATCTCATTTACAAGAGCTAGTACACAAAATGTGACAGAATCAAAGACAATACTTTATTCTTTGTTTTTATAACCATTTTTATGTGATTGAATAGTTTTAAATAAACATTTTACACTTAAATCCTAGACTACAGAAAAAATTACCTAAAAAATCAACTTTTATAACATAAACACTTGCTCTTATTCTAGGTACTCGTTTTAGCAGTCTCACTTCTTGAGATCTTTTAACTTAATAACTACCTACAAAATATTAATCTGTCTGATTAAGAACCTACTCAACTTAATAATCTCACTATCTATTTTAGTACTTTATGTAGGTAGTTCACAGTCTAACTGGAACCGATCAAATATCACATATTAAGCAAATCCTAATCATCAGTCAACATCTTCTTAATTTCAGTTATGCTTAAGTTTTTGTTAGCTCTGATATGACCATCATCATCACATTTCTCCTCTTCATGAGTATTGCACAATGCTTCCTCAGAATATAAAATATTTTTCAAAATACTTTTGGTATCCTCTTTCTTTGGTTTGTTTAGCACTTGCTTAATTATGTTATTCCTAATATCAAATTTTTCTTTTTCCTTTTTAAGACTGTTAAAATTAAGATTTTGTTTGGGACTATTTCCTGTGTAATTTCCTTTATTAATTTCCATTTTCTCTGTATTAATTTGTTCTTGTTTCAATTCTACTTTAGTTTTATCTTCTTCTTGTATTAATTCTACTTCATTTTTATCTTTTTCTTGTATCAATTCTACTTCATTTTGATCTTTGTTTTTTTCTTGTTTATTCTCTAGCGTAAAGTTTAAATGGTAAAAATCTTTCGAAAATAATATTCTTTTTGCAGATTCTGTAGTTTCATGTTTCTTGACAACTCCTATTTTGACACATTTTTCTTTTTTTAGCATTTGTTCAGCTTTGTCTAATTTTTTTTGTTGTCGATGTTCCTTTCGGACGGCGATAGTGATAAGGGTGACGATTGTCGTCACGAAGAATTCGCTAAACTGCAACATGGTTTATACTGAATCTTGTTCCGGCTCGCCTCATACCTGTGGTCGGCTCTTCTTCATAATGCTCTAACACTAATTCAGCCTGCCTGGCGTCGACTGTGCTTAGACGTCCACTTCCAGTAGACCGATGAAAAGAGCCGGTGGAATGTAGTCGTCTTGACGTGTTCAGAAAACACTGGTACGAAGGCAGCCGTCGCTGTCAGTGGGGGGGTCTACCATCGATAAATCGTTGCCGATACAGTTCGCGAGCACGATTTAAATTATTATTTAAATTTATTATTATTAACATCATAATATCGTAATATTCCGAGTTAGAAAGCATCGTTATTTTGCAAAAAATGCTGGAAAAAAAACTCGAAACAGTTGTAGGATATTGAATAGAAGATTTGAAATTAACAACATATTTTTTTTCCAATTTGACATTTTTTGAAGCCAGTACTTGAATTGAGGTAGCAAACATTTATGAAACGTAGGCCTTTATGTTAAATAATCTGGTTCCCTGACATGACAGCTTACTAGGGTTGACAAAATTTTTGGCTTTGATAATTAATTATATTTTACCGGGTATTTTGTAACACATTGTATACATATTTGTAGATGTTATAAAGACTGGTGTAAGGGGACTATGGGTAATCCAAAAGATCTTATATGATCTTTATACACTAGTCATCAAAAAAATCAGGAAATTGGGAATCCCAAAATTAGTAATAACAAATCCAAACCCAAAATACCACTACTAGACTTCAAAATACTGTAAATATTTTGTATAGATTTTTTAGACCAAAAATTAATATTTAAAAGCTCACAGAACACCGTCCAATCGCGTTCGAGCTGGCGCGTCACCCGATGGTATGTAGGTGAAGTAAACCCCGCCAGGTGGGGCGGCCGTGTGCGGCTTGCAGTGGCTCGATGCGTGGGCGAAGAGAGTAGCTCGCTGGCCGCGATGAGGTGAATCCGCGTATCTCGGTTATCGCGGCCGAAGTTCACGCGACCGGTAGGGTCCCAGATGGTTAGATTTAGTGCGTGTTACTTCGCTATGTGAATTTTGCAATATTTAACTTGCTCGGGTGATGCGGAATTTCGCACGCGCGCGCCGAGTAGATATACGGTCTAGGATTCGAACCGCGCATTCCTTGTTCGAGAGCGTCTCCCGGTTGATTGTCTGGAAACCATTATAATTGTGTCGTCGCGTTAAGTGCCCTTTTTTGTGTGGTGGCTGGTTTGTTAGTTTTGCGTGTCAACGAGGCGTATTTTGAATTCTTATCGTGGCGTGGTGTTTTGGTATCGAACGAAGGAACATAGTTGTCTTTAACGCTGAACCGTGTGACTCATGAATAGATCGCGTTAATTCCCTATTTATAATTTTGTGATAAGTGAATCCGGGACATTGAATGCCGAACTTTGACCTACTGTCCGTACTGTGTCGGGTATCACGTGTTCGATTCTACGATGAATGTGGAATTAGGCGAGTTTAAGTTAGTTAAATGTACAATTAAGCTGATAGACTGAAATAGTGACAATGAAGAAAGAAATGGTCCAGCGGTGGAGCCTGCTGGAGCGATGCAGCATTTTGGGGCAGCCTGGAACTCGGCCGCTGATAGTCTCCTAAGCTGCTCCAGGTCTTAGACACATACACATCACTAAACACTACTTGCCATTCACCTTACACCCACTTACGGCCTGACCGAGCCTTGGGGCGATCTTAGAGTCGGAAACAGGTACGTACTATATTTTCCTAGCATTCTCCCATATAGTTTAGTATGATAGGACATTCTTCCATATGGCCATTCGGGCCCGACCTGCGGCTGCTCGTTGAATCTTCCGCTCATGGGCCCCGGGATATTCGACATTTGCAGGGGCAGCTGTAGGCCGTAACACTTCCCATAATTAATTCACCTGAAACATTGTGAATTAATAAATTAAGAAATTTAAAAGCCTCTGAAACAAATAGAGGTTATAATCTTCAATAAAGCTGAACAAATTTTCTTGAATCATATCTAAGAACACTCAATCAAGTTACCTTCCAACTAATATGTACGGAATATAAAATAAAACAATGAGATTGAATATTGTTATGTATTAAGCTTGGTAGCATGACAAAAGACAAACTGTCATAAGTGAATACCTTACCTATATATAGTAAATATACATACACTCAATTTACTTCATTAATTAAAAAAATTAACAAGTAACCCAAAATAGAATAACAATAAATCTTTGAATATGACACTAACCAAAAACAACTAAATCATAATCGGTTTGTCTGAACACTACAAAGACACACAAATACAGATGTTAAAGTTATAACATCCCTCTGTTTTCGTAAGGGAGTGAAAGTAGTTATCATAATTTTTTTTAATAGGATATGGTAACAAACGAGCACACAGTCCACCTGATGGTAAGTTGTTACTGGAACCCATAGACATCTACATCTATCCGCAATAAAGACTCAAGATGCAGATGCGTTGTCACCCATGAGGATTAAGATGGAATGCCTCTTTGCCAGTAAAAAGGGTCTCCGGTTCTCTACACTCACCATACGAAACACAGCAGCGTCAAGCTGCTATTTTACGCTGGTTTTCTGTGAGAGCGTGGTCCTTACCCGGTCTAGCTGATCCATTCGTGCTACAACTGTACTACTAATATAGCTGCAGCATGGCTCTACAACGTAAAAAATGTGATAAAATATGTTATATCTTATTTTACTAAGTGATAGGACTACTTTTCCTACCCTTTACTTATTTTGCCGCCAAAAGGGAGTACTTGCTCTACTGTCTTTTGGTCTAAAGTATATATAGAGCCAGTATTATTACAGGCTGTGACGCATTCCATCTTTCTACTTTCCTACCATTCATTCTTCATTCATTTCCATTTCATAATCCTCAGAGTTGACAAACATCTGTAGCCTTTGTCTGCAGGTGTACTAGGACTATACTAGCCACCTTCCATTAAATTGACTGTAAGTTTATTTGTCACTAAAATTTTTATGACGGCTCTGTGGCGCAGTGGCTTAGTAAGTTGTAGCGCTACGGGCCGCAGGTTCGAATCCCGCATGGAACAAGTATTGGTATGGCCTATAAATAGTTGTCCCGGGTCAGACTGTTTGTCCTTGTGCAATTTATGTTTGTAAATTACCGCCACGATACAGGACAAAATCCTACTGTGGAGGTAACTTTTTTTAAAGAATAAAAAAAATATTTGTATAAAAAACTACACTGCAGGCCAAAAGTTTAAGAACACCTTAATTAAAGTAGGAAAATAAAATAAAACTTCAATAAAATATTAAATGTTTTTGACAATCAATATACTTGAAAAGCGTAAAGAAATATTAACAGTCCATGTTAAAAAAGACTATAGCTTGCTAAACTGATTTTTCATCAAAAA